TGTGCACACAGCATCACTCACTGCATCCGGAAGGTGGAAGCAGCCGTGTTCATCAATGCTGAGTGTGGTCAACACACAGTGAGACAGACGTCACTCAGCCTCAAAAGGAAGGAGGTTCTGACACCTGCTACAACACCCATGGACCTTGAGGACAGTATATACAAGTAAAGTGAAATAAGCCCGTCACAGGAGGACAAATCCTGTGTGAGCCCCACTTACATGAGGTCCCTGGAGGAGTCAGGTCCAGAGACAGGAAGTAGATGGTGGTGCGGGGACTGGGGCGGGGGGATCAGCAGTGAGTGTTTAATGGGGACAGAGGTTCCGATTGAGACGATGAGAAAGCTCTGGAGACGGATGGTGGTGATGGTTGTACCCCAACGTGAATGTACTTCATGGCAGTGAGCTGTACACTTAAAAATGGTTGAAGTGGTAAATTTTATGTATTTTGTCACAATACAAAAAGCATAAAAAGAAAAAAAGAAGGAATAGATGTCATTTGATGACGTACAGCCTCCCGTGGGGAACAGGGTGAAGCAAACTTCTCCGAGACCCATTAGTGGTGTTTTCATTAAGAGTGGGGTCTGGTCTGGAGGGGAAGGGCGGGTGAGCGGGTCTGGCCCTGAGGAGTGAACTGAGAACACAGCACCCAGACACGTGAATGGCGGGCGGTGTGAGAGCACGGCACGGGCAGGGAACCAAGGGGAACTTGAGAGGGATGTGTGCCGAACCGGCTCTGGGTTGACAGGAGAGAGCCTGAGCAAGGTGGCCCGGGCTCAGCTTGGGCCACTGCTGGACGCCCTGGGCAAGTGGAGCCAACAGGCTGTGCTGCAAACGGAGACGAGGCTGAGCACCTTCCTGTCCCCAACACCCAGCACGCGACAGGCACCAGGAGCAAGGCCCAGAGACCAGACACCAGCCACTTACAGAGAACAGCCTGTGGGACATGATACACGGCACCTAAGAGACAGACGGTCCCAGAACGCACAGGCCTTCCACGGAGAGGGAACCCCAGCTGCCATGAAGAATGTAAGCGTGTTTGACAAAAATACGAAAAGCAGAAGGTATAAGTGTTGACAAAGGTGTGGGGACAGAGCCAGTGCCCCTGCAGGTGGGAGTGTGTCTGACTGTCCAGGAAGAGCCCTCGCATGGGCAGAAAACAGCCCCATTGTCCTATTTGTTGGGTCGAAAGTGGTACAACAGTGACAGAGTCAGCCACTCAAGGATTCATGTGGAAAAGTCCCAAGAGCATGCTCAGTGAGGAGCAGACGGAAGGTAGCTCTGTGCCCGCGGCCTGCATGGTGAGACCGACTCAGAGTCAAAGGCCGCAGGGACTGGACGCTGTGTGCTGTGGCGCTCAGCTCACAGGAGGATGAAGGAACCCTAGGCCATGAGCTCTCGTGCGTCATGTTGTGTTCCTGGGGGAAGTCTGAAGCAAGTATGGCATTGTTCGTTAGGGTAGTATACATTCTTGAGTTCTTAAATCTTTTCCTTTGCATTTTTCCATGTGGTTATTGTTCCCAATTGTAAACTGAACGCATGCCTAAGGTCATGCTGAGATGGGATAGCCCTTCCCTGGGTAGGTCCGGGAGCCCAGAGCCTGATGGTGGGCACAGCCCCCCCTTGCCTGCCTTCAGGGACCAGCCGGCAGTGGGCTGGGTGCAGCGCCTGGGGGCCGGGGACACCTCACGGTGGAGTTTGGGAGCACCTAGGACATAGATGTATAGCAGTCCCCTGAGAAATGACCAAACTCAACTCCAGTGGCTTTAATGCACCTTTCCGAGAAGAAAACGGTTGGGGACAAAATAAGTAAGAAAAAAGACGTAACTGATTTGAGGAGCACAATT